GGGGGTAGGCACAGAGAGAAAGAAAGAAAGAAAGAAAAAATAAAGAGATGGGGTAAAGACAGAGAGAGAGAGAGGAGGGAGAGAGAGAAGGAAAGAGTGATAGAAGAGGGAGAGAAAAAAGAGAGGGACAGAGAGGAGGGAGAGAAAGAGAGAGAAAAATTGGATTTGTTTAAGAAGAGTGGTGGAGAAAGAGAGCGAAAGAAAGAGAGGGAGAGAAGGACAGAACGAGGGAGCGGAGTAGACAGAGAGAGAGAGAAAGAGGGAAAGAGAGAGAGCAAAAAAGGGAAACAAAGAGAAAGAAAGGGAGGAGGGGGAGGGAGGAAGTGGGTGGATAGAAAAATAGGATTTGTTTTCAACACAAATATATTCATAACAGCAGTGAAGAGAGAGAGAGGTTAGAGAGAAAGAGGGGAGAGAGAGAGAGAGAGAGAACAGAAAGAGGGAAAATTTGATTACAACACAAATGTATTCATAAGATTTGAGGAAAAGAAAGGAAGAAAGAAAGAACAAAGAGGCACAAAGCCGAAAGAGAGAGGATGACAAAGAGGGAGAAGAGGTAAGGATTTGTTTTAATTATAAAGGAGGAGGGAGAGAGAAGAGAATGTGACATAGAGGTAGAGAAGGAAGAGAGCACAAGATCTATCCATCGTTTCTTACCACCTCTCTTTCTCTTTTTCTTTCTCAACTCTCTTCTATCCCTCTTTCTCTCTGTCTCTCCCTCTTCTCAATTTCTCCTTCCTCTTTCTCTCCCCTTTCTCTTTCTATACCTCTTGTCTCTCTCTCCTTCCGCTTTTTCTCCCACCTCGTTCTCTTTCTCACCATTCTCTCTGTCTCATGTTCTATGTCTCTCCCTCTACTATTCTCTCTTTCTCTCCATCTTCTCTCATTCTCCCACCTCTGTCTTTCTCCCTGTCTCTCTCTCCTCTCTCTTTCTGTCTCTCTCTTCTCTCTTTCTCCTTCCTCTCTTTCTTTCTCTCCCTCTTCTCTCCCGCTTTCTTTCCCTTTTCTGTTTCTCTCCATCCTCTCTTTCCCCCATGTCTCTCTTTTTCTCCTTTTCTCTCTATCTCTCCTCTCCCTCTTGCTCTCCCCCTCTCTGTCCTCCTCTCTAACCTCCTCACTTTCTCTCTGTCTCTCCCTCCTTCCTTTTTCCACTTCTCTCTCTCTTGCTCTCTTCCAACTCCTCCAACTCTCTCCTTCTCTCCTGTTCTCTACTCCTACCACTACTACTCACTGAACTATATCTGAGACTGAAAAACACTCTGGACGACTACTGACCACTACTACTACTACTACTACTACTACTACTACTACTACTACTACTACTACTACTACTACTACTACTACTACTACTACTACTACTACTACTACTACTACTACTACTACTACTACACTACTACCACTACTACTACTACTACTACTACTACTACTACTACTACTACTACTACTACTACTACTACTACTACTACTACTACTACTACTACTACTACTACTACTACTACTACTACTACTACTACTACTACTACTACTACTACTACTACTACTACTACTACTACTACTACTACTACTACTACTACTACTACTACTACTACTACTACTACTACTACTACTACTACTACTACTACTACTACTACTACTACTACTACTACTACTACTACTACTACTACTACTACTACTACTACTACTACTACTACTACTACTACTACTACTACTACTACTACTACTACTACTACTACTACTACTACTACTACTACTACTACTACTACTACTACTACTACTACTACTACTACTACTACTACTACTACTACTACTACTACTACTACTACTACTACTACTACTACTACTACTACTACTACTACTACTACTACTACCACTACTACTACTACTACTACTACTACTACTACTACTACTACTACTACTACTACTACTACTACTACTACTACTACTACCACTACTACTACTACTACTACTACTACTACTACTACTACCTACTACTACTACTACTACTACTACTACTACTACTACTACTACTACTACCACCACTACTACTACTACTACCACCACCACTACTACTACAACTACTGCTACAGCTGATACTACAAAAACTACTACTACAAAACAATGTATCTAAAACAATAACGTGAAATGTGTAATTTACCACTACTACTACTGCAACTACTACTACTACTACTACTGCAACTACTACTACTGCAACTACTACTACTAATAATAATAATAATAATACTACAACTATTACTCTTACTACTTTGCAACTCCACTCTCATGAATATATTTGAGACCGAAAAAATCTGGAGAGAGGAAAACGGATGGAGAAAACGCGCGAGAGAGAGAGAGAGACGTACAGAAAGAGAGCGAGACGAGTGGAGAGAGAGAGAAACATTTGCTGCTGTTGCGGCGCCTGAGCACGAGCAAACACTAGCTTTAACGCGTACGCCGTCATTTATTACCAAACGGACCAAGAGAGAGAAAGAGAGAGAGAGAGAGACGACGGCCAAATCACTACACTACACAAACAAAAGCGATCCCAATATGTTTTCAAGCTCCAGTTCCCAGAGGACGCAGCCCACATGAAATTATATTATCCACGGTGAAACGCCAGAGTCGGGGAGGCAGGCTCATTCTGACGCTCGCACGGATGAATGAGCAGCAGCCTTCTCACATGAGCGGCTCTGCGGGAGGACGCCGTGTCACTGTGTGTTCTCCTCAATACTGCTGAGCTTTGAGCTTTCAGACTATTTTAAACTGTCATGCAAAATTGACTTTTTGAAGCGTTTGACCGGCTTGAACAGAATAGATTGGAAACGCAAGAAGTCGCACTGCAAATTCACGGGCGTGTGAGCGCGGCGGTTTCTAAATGGCTGCTAAATGTCTTTATTTTCACGGTGTGCGCCCGGTGCTGTCTGCAGACACCAGCGGATAACACCGGGAGCTAGATTTAACACAAATATAGACGCTCGGAAATAGAGTTTGTTTTTAAAGACGCTATCTACAATTAGACTGGCCTCCAATAGATGCAATAGATGCTATCTGTGTATCTGTGTGAGTGCAGGGTGAGAGGGCACAGAGCACAGGCCACACTCTACCACTACTACACTATTTGTACTTTATACTCTACTATATATATACTCTACTAAAAATACTCTACTATCTGTGTGTATCTGTGTGAGTGCAGGGTGAGAGGGCACAGAGCACAGGCCACACTCTACCACTACTACACTATTTGTACTTTATACTCTACTATATATATATACTCTACTAAAAATACTCTACTATCTGTGTGTATCTGTGTGAGTGCAGGGTGAGAGGGTTTGAGCTTTGGCCTCACAGAGCACAGAGCATATGCCATACTACACTATATATACTCTACTGCTTATATATACTACACTATATATACTCTACTGCTTATATATACTACACTATATATACTCTGCTACTTATATATACTCTACTACTTATATATACTCTACTATATATACTCTACTACTTATATATACTCTACTGCTTATATATACTACACTATATATACTCTGCTACTTATATATACTCTACTACTTATATATACTCTACTGCTTATATATACTACACTATATATACTCTGCTTATATATACTCTACTACTTATATATACTCTACTGCTTATATATACTACACTATATATACTCTGTTACTTATATATACTCTACTATATATACCCTACTTATATATACTCTATTATATATACTTTACTACGTATCCTCTACTATATACACTCTACTATGTATATACTCTACTACATATATATATACTCTACTTATATATACTCTACTATATATATACTCTACTATACATATTTACTATATATACTCTACTTATATATACTCTACTATATAAATACCCTACTTATATATACTCTATTATATATACTTTACTACATATACTCTACTAAGTATACTCTACCATATATACTCCACTATGTATATACTCTACTATATATATACTCTATTAAATATATATTCTATTATGTATACTTTACTTATATATACTCTTCTATATGTACTCTACTATGTAATACTCTACTATATATACACTCTACTTATATATACTCTATAATATATGTGCTCTACTTATATATACTTTACTTATATATACTCTACCATATGTACCCTACTATACATATACTCTACTTGTATACTATATATACTCTACTATATAAACTATTATAAACCTGCAGGGTACAGGCGCAGCACTCTCACTCACACTCTCTTTTTCAGCAGCAGAATCACACTTTTATTATTTTAGTTGTAGTTATTTTATTTTAGTTGTAAAGGCGTGATGTACGTAAATCCTTTTTGACTGTTTGATTTAAGTTATTCATTTAAATTATGAATATTACCAAAAAGCAATAATAATTGTGGCCAAACCTCCTGAGCAAAGCCTGATCTCGTCAGATCTCTGAAGCTGAGCAGGGCCCGGTCTGGTTAGGACTTGGATGGGAGACACTGGGAATACCACAAATCACAGTGGGGCTCCATGAAAAAAAATGCTGTCCTGTCCTTAGGCAAGACACTTCACCCACATTTGTCTAGTATGAATGTGGTGTGTGCTGGTGGTGTTCGGAGAGGCTGACGGTGCAAACTAGCAGCCTTCTGTCAGTCTGCCAGAAGAGATAGAGTGTAACTAATGCTGCAAAGTGTGTCTGAGAGTCAAAAAAATAAAATCAAATCTGAAATATAAATCCAACACATTTTGTATTATTATTACAGTAATAAATGAGTGGTCCCTTTAAAGCCCTTTTGTTATCATCATTAGGGCTGTTCATTAGTCACCGTGGGTTTGTCCTTGTATCAGTACGTGCATCACTGTGTATCACTATTGTTAACCTTTTCACCATTTTGTCTTTTAATATCTGCACTTGAATACAACTTTGAGAAAACTTGAAAAAAGAACAAAGAAATCCTGGCAGATAGGAATTTTAAAATAAATACAAAGAAAAAGGTGCTGTACCTGTCTGATGCCGAGTCTGTAGGCCACGATGCGGTCCACCGCGTTGGGGTTCATCTGGGTCCACTGCAGCTTGAAGCCGTACACTCTGGGCCTGTTCTGCCACACGGGGCTGTACGTGTCATAGTAGAACTCAGGAGCGTACGCTTTACCTGCAGCACAAGAGGAAATAAGAAAGAGCTTCTTTAAAGGAGCTAGACCTGATTTATTCTGTTTTAAAAAGGTTCGCAGTGGTTCAAAGTTATTCCTCGCTTTTCTTATGCATTTTGAGCATCATAATTATTCACATCGAAGAGTTTATGAGCGCTTTTCAAAACTTTCAGAACAGAGTTGTGGCAGAGTTTTGCCATGGTGATAAAGCTTAGATTATCAGACAATAAAACACTTTACAATTAGATACATACAGTACACAGCAGACTTCATTTCTTTCTTTTTTTTTTTTTTTCATTTTTTCTTGTATGTATTTATTTTGAGCAAGGAAGCAATTTACATTCTTTTACAGTGGAACAGAGACTTATCCATATGACATTAGTGCAATTATAATAGAAATAGCAACAAAAAATGTGCCCAAAAAGGAGTGGGAAAAAAAAAAAAAAAAAAATCCCAACCGCCCTCTTCTAATTTAACATAATGAGCTTTCTTGACAATTTACATTATACATTACATTATGCTATTTCCATTTACAAATATTGTTCTAATATTAATATCCACTCTCTATCAACTGTGAAGAAATCATATGTTCGTATAACAACTTGAATTTATGGATATTTTGACATTGCTTGAGATGTGTATCCAGTTTTACACCACATATAGACACACAGAAACTTTTTATGTGTAGTTCAAACATTGGGCAATTTGAAATGTCCTTACTCTCTTAAAATATGAGTTCTCTTTCTCATTTTGAACAAGTTTTGTAGATTACTTGGTTGTAAAATGTTGTTGTTGTGTTAAATAAAATTACCAGTGCACCATTCACTTATTTTGACCTCAAGAGCCACAATATATCTGCACTGGGGAAAGTATGGAGTAAGAAAGCTTTCAAAAATATTTGGGCGCATAGAATAGAAATTCGTGCGTATTTGGTAAATCTGTACATATTTGGCTGGAGTTACGCATAAAATAAATATTTGTAAACTCTCAAATGAGTCCAGTTGTACATAAAATATATTGTGTGTATTTTATCCATCAGAATACGGATTGAAAAGTTACGACGTCAAGAATTACAATTACGAATTGAAAATTTACGATTACGCTTTCATCAGTACGAATACGAATTCACAGATGAAATTTTATTGTCAAAAATACGTCATCACTTCACAGACATTACTTATCGAGCAGGAGAAACATTGATCAAGATCAAGACTGCGCATGTTTAAGTTGCGCAACTACAGTCAAATATGCACGGATTTCCTCAGTACACACGGATTTCTATTCTATGCGCACAAATATTTTTGAAAGCTTTCTTACTCCATAGGAAAGACACATTTTGCTCAAACATATGGCAAAAAAAAGGAGTACAAGCAATTACCTTACCCAAGAACATACTGCATGCTTATTGTGTCTTTAGTATTAATCCGTGTAGCTCATTCTTGTAAAGCCCAACACTGATCTAAAAGGCGTCACCACAACAAAGGCTCCACTGACTTTGTGTTGAAAACATGTTTTACAATAGAATCAATCACACTCCCCCCTCGTGGATTGACAACACCAACACTGATCTATGGCAACAAAAGCTGCTGACTGTCAAAACCCTCCAGCGTTTGAGTGTATCGTACACTCTATTGTAGTGCAAACCACCGCCAAGAAACATGTATGATTACAAATACAATATTTGAAAGTATTACTACTATGACTAGAAATATTACTACTCATCTCTAGCTTGTCATTTTACAGATAATTGAGAAAAACTAAATACACTGAAACCCACTTTATTAATAGTTAAAACAATGTCAAATGTGCAGTTTACCACCACCACCACTACTACTACTACTACTACTACTACTACTACTACTACTACTACTACCACTACCACTACTACTACTACTACTACTACTACTACTACTACTACTACTACTACTACTACTACTACTACCTACTACTACTACTACTACTACTACTACTACTACTACTACTACTACTACTACTACTACTACTACTACCACTACCACTACTACTACTACTACTACTACTACTACTACTACCTACTACCACTACACTACTACTACTACTACTACTACTACTACTACTACTACTACTACTACCACTACCACCTACTACCTACTACTACTACCTACTACTACCACTACTACTACTACACTACTACTACTACCTACTACTACTACCCTACTACCACCACTACTACTACTACTACTACTACCTACTACCACCACACTACCTACTACTACCGCTACTACTACCACCACCACTACTACTACTACTACTACTACTACTACTACTACTACTACCTACCACTACACACCACCACTACTACTACTACTACTAC